AATCAAGACATGTTAAGTTTTAAAACTAGCTTATTCTAAATTTATTTTCTTAACACAGGCAAAGCACAGGGTTTGCTCATTACCAACAGTAATACAAAAAATGATGCATATAAGACGCATTAGTTTATAAAAGTCCAAACAAACCTAAATTTACCATTTTAAAAACAAAAAGCAGAGGGAGGAGGTAACTTGGGTTATGATCATAACCTCATTTTCTAAGCAGAATCTCAGAGGAAAAAAAAGAGAAATTACGTTGGGTAAAGCAACAGATTATAGCAGCCAAGGGAAAAATTCACTCTAACGTGGATTATAATTATGAAACAGCAAAGGTAGATGTCATATTTTCGGGATTCGGGAAATACGTGATTTGTACCATTTGTTCTGTGGGTTTTTTCATGTGGATCGGTGCCACTTAAACGGCTGTAAAGCGAAGGTTTTGGACCTTAATCTGACTGACTACCTGTGTGGTTTGGATCCGGCTGAAGCGTTGCTGCTCTCGGCTGTTCTTAAATTACCGTGCTCGGTATCGGAGGGGCTCTCCGACTGCATGTTAAATGTATTTTATATAATTGTCACATAAACAAAAAACTAAGGAGTTGCCTAAGAATAATTTCATACTCCGTATAACACAAACGCATCAACACACGTATTGACTTACCGTGTGCCGAATCGCTGCCTCTGTTCTCAGCCTGTTTCCGTAGCAGTAGATTTCCTCCGGCATTATTTTCCTCCAACAAATTATTCCACTGAACGAAGCACGTACAGTTCACTTTTTACCTCCGTCTTCCCATTTCTGACGCTGGATCTTCAATATCCTCAAGCTTTGAAATAGCAGGCAGCTACAAACCGTGTGTTAGCTGTAGTGGCTAAGTTTTGGCTACAGCCCGCTGTCGCCTTGATATCAGCAGGAAAATGAAAAAACTAAGCACTGGATGGTACTGGCTAATTATTGGACACAACGGCACACCAAAAAACTCGATTGTTGTACCAGTAGCTCACAGATATTTTAAGTTTTGCGTCTTTTTCATGGTACAGATCTTGCAGCTTCGGCCAAGAACAATAGGAGCAAGCAGGACCCGGAACCAACCTATGTGGAATAAATTCAAACGGAAATACGTCACCACCTCTCGTGGCATATACCC